TAATTACCTTTTTTTATTTTTTTTTTTTTTTTTTTTTTTTTTTTTTTCCCCAATAGATAAACAGAAAGCCAATTGAAGCAAAAATACACACACTCAACCAGAAGAAAATTAAGATCTCAACTGCCTGCACTTCAGAAAAGGTAAGACTTCAAACACAAGTGAGATATTCCTTTGCTGGTGCAATCTATTTTCAGTCTACATTCTGCTTCAGTTGCCTACCAGACTCTGCATGTGCTTTAATGAGCTTGCCTGTTCCACATTATCCAAACTGCCTTAGAATGTATTTAGGACTCTGAGTACACAAGATTACAGGTCCCTTCTATTTTGTTAGCATTCAGGAGCACAAGGCCTGCTTGAAAAATGGACTCTGAAGCTCACAGGCTGCCTCATTCACCTTTGATGTGTTCCACAGGTATAAAGCAGGACAAAGGGGCTGGCAAGATATTCATCACCGTGCTTGTGCATCTTTGGAGCTTCTTTTTCCTTTGGAGTGTAACAGCCAACAGGTGAAGTTGGGTAGAGCAAAAAGATTTTCCTTTGTTTTTTCTATTAATTTACTTGATGCAGTCCAGGCTAAGTGGAAGAGCTTAATATTGCATACAGAGGATAAACACAGGTTGATAACCTGCATTGTCTTTTACTACAGAATTTAAATAAGCAAATAAAGAAAAACATTGAGAGAAATGCTTAACCACATCTATGGACTGAGAAACCATTTAATTAGCAGGAGAAGCGAAGAGAAGAACCCTTACCATGATTTTAAGCTTATCACTGAAGATGGCATAATTCAACCTGTTCTGAATAGCAGAAAAATTTAAGGCATATACAATTCTGACTGAAACCCATGCAAGAAAAAGAGCTAAAATATTAAACACTTGAAAAAGCAGTCCGATGCAAAAGGTATTTCAGAAATAATAGCTCAGTTTCTGTTAAACATCAAAAGGTTACTATGGCAACTGTATACCTGACCTATAATTAATAACAGGTTCCTATTCCTATGGCAAACACTGGTTTATAAAATTCTGTCCTTTGTTTTGATTGGCAGTGTGATCTCTGCACTTCTACCTGTTGATCTATTTTTTTCTTTAAATGGAAGTAACATCCCTACTGAGACCTAGAGCTCCAGCAATCATCACATGGTCTTGCTTCTCTTTACTCCTGACCCTGCTGGCTACACTATTTCACTTATACAAGACAGGATGCCATGGGCCTCCTTGGCCATCTGGGCATTTTTATTTTACTCTGAAACTAGAACTCTGCAATCAAAAAAACTCCACTATCAAAATCTCTCCATCTGTGACCTGTGTTACCTCTTTGTCAGTTTTTCCTTACTGCTTATGAATTACCACTATCCTCTTTCTGTTCTTTGTGAGAAGTGCTGTCAAGGCAGATATTTGGATTTCTCAGGTAAGAGAGATTTTAATTTTGCATGCATGTCTGTCTACTTCCCTTCATCATTTTGGAACATGCTCCCAAGCCCATACAATCACATTACTAGGAAACTCCCTGTAACACCCAGTAGAATTGAATGCTCATTTGTGTTTCATGAACGTACACTTCAGAAAATCTGATAAGATATTGCTGGTGCAATTAGTCACACACTGCCACTGTACAGCAGGCTCAGAACCACGTCCATATCTTTCTTTTTAAACAAGTGATTCATTTTAAACAGGTATTGATAGCAATATATATATATATTGGTATTTAATATTCTACTTGAAATACATTATGTTTGTCAAGACAATTTAAAAATTTGCCTATCACCAGGTAGGTCTGAATCCAGTCTCTACTTGCAGCTGTCTAAACACTGAGGGGAAATTTCCCTAGAGTACTGAAATTTTCTGAAAATTTCCCTTTACGGTGTTAGCAGCAACTCCTATGCTAGTTCTGATGGCTTCTGTGCCTAGAGTTATTTTAAATGTTCTATCATCAGATTTCATAGATGTGGAAATTGTAGTCACACCTGGTGTGTGATTTTTATCTACAGTAAAGCTCCCAGTGCTGCTACCAACAACGAAGATACAGCATCTTTGCAGTGCTGATGTTATTTTGAGTGGGAAAAGAAGGCAGAAAGAGAAGACAAGCAGGGTCTGCTGCTACTATTATTTCTGCAGTATCCAAACATTCATGTTAGAGTAAGTCACAAACTTTGCCTTACTTTTGATATCAGTATTTCCAATTCACATTGATATTTAGCCTAGACCTTCGAAGATGCTTAAATGACCTACCTATGTTTGCCCTGCTGATATCTTATACACATTTAAGAATCATGTTGTTACTTCTTGCAAACAGCAAGGGTAAAAGTTTCTACTTTTCATAAGCATGAAGTTAGGATTTTGTAAATATATTTAATAAACAGAAGCTTGAAAGTCTAGCACATTAACAAGCAGGTTATTTGTATTCAACCAATGCAATTACAGCTAGTGGACTGAAAGGAAGTTAGAAAAGGAAGTGTAAAGAATAGACTATAGATAGTGTAATGTTGATAGTAATCATTATGCTTCTTTTCAGAGAAGATGAAGAACTCTCTGCTTGCAGCTATCATTTTATTTGTAGCAGGTGAGTTTTCATTTGATGCATGATTTACTACTGTTTATATGTAGTAAAAATTCTAAAGATTACTCAAAGACAAGGATGTATGATTTAAGTCATTAGTGGATTAAAGACTCTGGGTAGAAGAAGCTACAATTAGTAAAAGATTTCCCTCTTTATTTTACAGTTGTCTTGTTAAATGTATTCTTTTTTATTCCTTAGATTCCTGTAACTATTTAAGCTGGGATTTTCCATTTTGCAAGCAGCTTCCAGGTGAGTAAACATTTCTCACACGATGACTACTTAATGACAAAGATGGAGATCTTTGCTGATGGAAATATACCAGCTGAAGTGACTGCATTTGAAATATGGCATAGGGCTTTTTGGTTGAAATTCAGAATGTAGAAGCTGTGAATTTCTTACTGTTTCCCAAGACCTCACTCCCTATTGCAGGGCTGAAGGCACAGGGTCTATCTCTGTTTCTTGTTTCTGGGGGCCTCCTAGTGGCCTCCTCAAAAGACAATAAAATCTGTAGCGTTTATATTAACAAACTTTTATGGTTTAGATTTAATTAATACACTACTGTCAATGGCAAAATGGATCATTCAAATATGTATCAATAGAGAGCATGGTGGTCATGCGGAATTTATTGTATGCAGAAATAATCCTAATTGCTAAGAGCCACAGCAGGGAAGGTACATTTTCTAGTACATAGTACTGGATGAGATATCATAGTAAGACTATTTATCTGAAACTAACCATGCATTATTTTCTAAGCCTTGCTGTTATCCCACTGGACTAAATTCAAAGTGCTACTGAGAATACCAGACAAATAAGAACAAAATTCTAGAGTGGAAAAACTATGCCTCATCTGCCTGCCTGGCTGTTTCTTTGTTTTAAAAAGGAAATTAGATTGTGCTATCTTTGGTACAGGAAAAGTTTTCTCTTTGTACACCTCTGAGTGCTGTCTTGGTACAGGCCTAAAAATATTGCAAGGTATAGAGGAACTAACAATACATATGTTCTTTCAGGGAAAGCAGTACAGTAAAACTAAAAATGAACAGGATAAAACTGAATGTGCATAAGTACACTAAATCTCCCAATTGTAGGACAATTGAAAACATGGTAATAAGGTATTGTCAGCTGAAGAGTGTAATACAGGACTTGAGTATATGGGCTGGGGCAGTAGGTGTGGGGTAAGCTAATACAGAGTTTCCATGCATAAAAACTACTCTGCTACTATTTTGCCTTGACTATTTTTAAACTCTCTCATAGAGGAAAAAAAAATCTGGTAAAATCAAGAGCATGAAGAACAACATAAGCCCTTTCTTTTCTTAAAGCAGACAGGTCTGCAACAGTGTGGTCACCACTTGGATCTCAGTTAATAGAAATTATCTGGGAAGAAGTTAACAGAAATTCTGTAGAAGGGTGAAGAGATTTCCATTAGATTTCACCTCAACGACCTCTCCAGAACTATTATTTCACATGGTTTCAAGAGTAGTATATTACAAACATACTGACAAAAAGTGTTAGATAAGTTCCAAAAAGGTTTATTTTCCAGGTGTTTCTTTAAAAGAAAATAAGAATTACCAAACCAAAGAAAGGCTGAATTCAGAGTAAAAGAAGAGGAGAACATGAGAGCAGTTGCTCCTTTTCCCAATTCTTAGAGTACCATGTAGAGGATGCAAGTGCGCAAGATTTGGTTTGGTGGCTGGACTAGAAAGCAAAGAATTCCATAATTATTTATATTGCTGTAGAAACAAGCAAGACCTGATCTCAGCCTTTTGAAAAGGAATCTGCAAATGCCTATAAACTAATGCATCAAAATTTCATTGGAAATGCACGTTTCTTTTGGTAGGAAAAAGAGGTTTTGTGGAATGGTGGTCTTAAGTCAGAGCTATACTGACAAATTTTCTCATCTAAATCTGCTGTTAATTTAAATATATAACTGACATCTAAACAATGGAGAAAATTCCAAGGATAGCTTGTTTCTCAGGTTATATGAAGAGATCACTCTGAATATGGAAAAGAGGAAGACCAATCTTTTATCACATAACTTGGGTAAATTTGATAACTGATCTATAACACTAATTCCAGAGACATATATTTAATTACTGAATATCAAACATTTCCTGTTTAATATTGATGAATTTATTGGCATCTGATTAAACCTACTAAATACAAGAATAACAGGGTCCTATTCATTATGGACAAAAAAAGCTACACTGAATATCCAATGTATTTTGAGATCTTTATCTACTTTTCTAAAAGGAAAGGAAAGGAAAGGAAAGGAAAGGAAAGGAAAGGAAAGG